CACCGGCCGAGCCGAGCCGAGCCGAGCCGTGCCGAGCCGAGCCGAGCCGAGTTTTAGTAGTTGCCCATAAGTGCGAGAAACGCTCCCCCGCTCACTGCAGTAAAAATTCGTTTCTTTTTTTTTTTTTTTGAAAAACCCATGATAATTTTAATATTAGCCGGAATTCACGATTTTTCGGGATGCGCCTATTTAGCCCCTTTCCGCTTGGCTTTCCGCCATCCTTGATCTCTCCACTTCCCTTGCGTCTTTACACGCTCGCACCTTCGTTTTCTCGCAATCGCTCATAAACTCACCTCAACTCGCTCGCTTCGAATTTTGCGCTTGCTGTCGAGGATTCGTCAAAATTTTGAGTTCCAGAAACGAAATTCCGGGAACAATTTGTTGTTCTGATTTGTGTGTACGCGTGTGCGTGTGTGTGCGCGCGTGCGTTCACGGATTTGGACGATGCGATGCGTGAAGTGGTGCTCGTGGTTCTACAACTCGCTCGCATGACGGTTACCGATTTACTCGGTAGTTTGAATCTTCCTGAGGAACATATCCAGTATTGGCTAAACAGGAACGAAGCACTGCACAATTTCTGTTCGCAAAATGAAACATGCTACTCGAAGGTTCTTTTTTATGCGCTTTTAGATGGCCCATTCAAAAAAAACTGCATTATAGTGATATCATGCATTATGTGTGTGTATATGTATGTATGTATGTGTGTGTGTATGTATCCTGCTAATTCAGTTGCAGGAACTTGAAGTCTGTGATATCTCTGTTTTTGGGGCAATTGTCCTTGGTTGTGTATCTGGCCGCATAATTGAAACTGGTCCGAAAATTTTCCGTGTATTGGCAGCTAACTGAATTCTCATTGTGTTTTGCCCCATTCGCCTAATTTACTCTCGCAATAGCTTTTCCTGAAAAAAGGGTGGTAGATTGGCGAGATAGGCTCATACCAACTGAAACGGATGGGATCTGTCAATCTATGCGTTCTTGAACGTAGAGCGATGAGGATATTGCGTATGTACGTGGGCGACTCGCCGGCCACTATCCTGTTGTCCGGTTTTCCTTTTTTTTTTTTACGCAGTCAGGATATCCTGTGTTCTGAGCAATGTTTTCAGTACGAGCTGAATAATAAGCAGTGTTGGGGCTATGAAGCAAGCTGCAGCAAGAAGGATAGTTTTTCGGCCAGAAAAGCGAAGTGCACCAAACCAAACAGTTGGCAAGTTTCAATATGTTATTCTTTACAAAGCCCATTTACAAGTAACAAAATTTATTTGTATGATTATTGAAAACAGATTTTTTCCCCTATGAAAATGAAATTGTTACGTGTTTTGGTCAAATTCTGCAACAGTTCTACAGGTGGCAGTATTTCAGGGCTCAAAATGATCTGGAATTGCAGAAACAAATTTTCAAAAAACAAGCCGATTTCGCAAAACTTGCCGAAGTATTAAGCACCATTACACCAATTTGCGTTTCAAATTATTCTGTATGCCTTGCACTTTCACTCCGTTTTAAATG